GAAGGTTGTTTCCAACACAACAGCAGACATTGCTATTAAATTCATGCAGCGCTATATTTCCAACAATGGTGATACATTATATACAGGAATGATACAAACACTAAAACGCAGATTAGCGGTAATGAGGATTTACAAAACAAACACATCATACCGGCTAGCTTCTGATGTAGCTTAGATAATAAATACGTTACGGAGTATACCACACGGCGTCACAAAAATTTCACCGTTAGAGGCACACATCGGCCGAAAACCGAACACCCCTTTAACAAACATCGCAACAAGCAGTACACCAAATAATTTAAATTGGGAAAACGCAAAACATGCTTGTTTAGATCGAAAGAACTTAACAAAGCCGTCACTACCCTCTGAGATCATGCATGATCTACAGAGATGGTCAGAAGATGAGGTGTAAGTTAAAGAGAAAGGAGAGACAAGCCCACAAATGCCAAAGAAACTTCAAGGGCCAAATTCTCCGACACAACAGAAATTAGGTGCAGGTCCTAAAGTTATAGAATTAGCAAAAGATAAGCTTAATGTAAGATACAAAGGGATACAGAGAATAATAGAAGCACCTACTAAGGAACGTATAAAGCAGGTGGCCCGGAAAACCGTTAGGATAGCAACCAAAGTGAAAAACCCAAAAACCTTCGAACAAAGATATAAAACAGTTGATGGGAAAACTTTAACATATAATCCACACACCGCTTGGGTACAGACATTCGGCAAATAACCAAGATTATTACGAAATAGCGGAACAGTTTTTGTACAGTAACCTTTATTTACGGGCCCTGTAGACAATCTCGACTTAGTGATTATGTCGCGTATAAATCCGCACGGAGAGCTGGACCATGTCTACGGTTTTTAGACATAGAAAACCCCAACGCGCCACAACACGCAATGTTCAAAGAGGATGAAACCACGGGCTTGCCAGTGAAAATAACCAAAAAACATATAAGACAACAAACAAGCAGCCCAACAAAGCGAAGGGCAAAGGCAACAAGGAAAAGAACTGGGAGACGACCACCAGCAAAACCACAAACCAGAAAGATGACTTTACAAACGTACGTGCCAATACAAAAGGCAATAACAATAACACTTGAAAATTCAGATTCAAGGCATTCGGACGATAACCATTCCATCACATCCTTGGAGGATGTAGCCCCTTCGCCAAAACGGCAAAACAAAAAAGGAACACCCCCAACATCAGAACTACAAAGAAAGTCTACACGCAACCGACAATCGGCGCTAACAAACTCATTTGGAGATGGCATTCCAATAAATACGATAACTGAATCAGAGAGTAACGAAAAAACAAAGAAGACTCTCTTCGAGATAGACTCGCCACCTGAGCAACAAAAATCAGGGTACCCAAGTTTAGAGGGTCTAATTCAAGAGATGGGTTTCTCGAACAAGACCCCACAAAATTAAGCCTCCTTAAAAATTATCGAAGCCATCAGCCCAAAACATGGCACCAAACACACCGAAGTGGTGGACCTGACGTCACCAACCGAAGAAGATATGGCGGACAACAACAACAACAACGATATCTTACTTATTAAAGACATCGAGCAGAAAAAGAAGACCAACGACACTGAAACGCAGGACGACGAAGAACACAATAAACAAGAAGAGGAACCATCAAAAGATGGAAAGTAAACAACACTCAAAATCCCACGGGGACTCAAAACTCAAAAAACTACAACGGTCCCACGTGGACCCTAAAACTCAATTCATATTTATAATTAGTAAATTAAAATTGTCTCAAGGGGGAATTTCATCCGGCATGGACCGACAAAACCTAGTTATATATATTTATACATATGTTTTAGGTTAATGTATGTTATAACCATACATATGGCTGGTCAATCGACCTTGGGAGATCTTCTCTCAAAAAACGACCGAATGATCGGTCAGACCATGAATTAACATTGGTTCAAACTAGTTGTTTTACCTCGCTTCGCGTTAGAACATCTGTTTGTGGATCCATTCGGATTCTGGAATTAGAAGATCATACATTGAGGTATGACAGGAACACTGAATCATTCAGAGTACTCCTCTCGTCCTGAAAGTGAGCGCAGCGGAGCAAACGTATTCTACATTCCAATGCCTTGTTACGAATTGTCGCTTGCTACGAATTGTCGCCCAACCGACTACCCATCTGCATTTTAGATTATCTATGCCGTGGGTTTTGATCTTACTTTTTACTCCAGACCCAATTGTTTTCCCAGCACCCCTACAACTCGTATTGCAAAAAAAACTTATCTGGCGGCAAGAAATTTTCGTTTCCAGTTGAAACACCCTCAACAAATCTAACCAATTTGTAATAAATTTCTGGGTCTTTGTTTTGATGTTAGTGCCAGGGGATATAGCGTACTGGGATATAGTCCAATATAATTTGACTTCGTTTTTGATACTCAATTCTTTGTAGCTTGAAGCACCTTGCTGAATCCCCTGTATCAAAAAATGAAAAATCAAAAAATTAAAGGCTATTTAAAAAACTTTTCATGATAAAAATTGCAACAAAACGCGCCAGCAAGATCAGATGAATAAATTTGAACAACAATTCTCACATGCAAAACACCGTGTGAACAATTTTTGAACAGCTTTATTCGAAATTTTTACGAGGGGGGTGGGAAGCTGGAAAAGAGCCAAAAATCCTTGCTTTATTTAAACAATTCAAGAATTATTTCTGGTCAGCTATTAAGAATAGAAGTTAAGTATTTCTTGACGGAGTTAAAAAAAATTTGTTCGTTACGGGCAATATACCAGTTGTTCTATAAAAGGGCTAATAACCTGCGTAACTTTTTGGAGCCTAATTTTAATTCGCTATTTTTTTTATTACAAACGACGGGATCTCTTAGGTTTGGCCTAATGTATAGCTCAAAACCGTTTTAAAATTTTTAGGCATCCACGCCTGTACCGAACATTTTCCTTAATTTTGGCCAGAATTACTTAACTTCTAATCTGAAGATCCTGACCAAAAATTCTTTTTGAAATGTTTAAATTAAGCAGGGGTTTCTTGAAGTTTTTTGTTTCTGGTCTTTTTTTTATCAAAAATTAGCTAAAACAAGGCTATTTCTAGCTATAAGAAACGGGGGCTCATACCCCCGATCTGCCGTTAGCTAGAGGTTTGCGTTTACCGCTAGGCCACATTTCCTAAGAATTTAGTTTTAGCAACCTAATGCAAGGTATAACACTTGTTATAAAAAAATATTTGTTGGGTGCGGACAATACTTGCCTGCTTGCCTCTCTCATCGGGTCTTTTCTAGTGCCTTCGTTATCATCATGATCTTTCGCAATTCAAAAACTGTTAGTGAAATCCGATAGATTTGTAGTTGGTGTGTGTACTTGCTTGACCTTGAGTACTATTCTGTGTTTTGTGTTTAATCTCGTCAGCTCTAGGAGTAACTAGAACCCAATATCATCCTATGAATTAGTGAAAAAAGTAGCAATCCGAGAATTTTATGATATATGCCATGCGTTAAGTTATTTATGATTATGAATCGGTATCAATTATCACCAGGCCTGGGATTTTAGTTAAGTTAAAAAATCTTTTTAGTTAACTAAATAGCTACAAAAAAAACATTAAAATAGTTGAAGAAAAATTAATTAAAAATCCCGTTTCTACAAAAAATTGTGCAGTAAAAGCAAAAAAAAATCATTTTGAACGAGTTTTCTGTATAAAAATGTAGCGAGTTTGAAAAAAAACCGAGTTTTGCATTAACCTAGAAGTTTTCAAACTTTCAAATTTCTCAGAGGCCTCAGTCAGGGGCGGATCTAGGATTTTCTCTAGGCTCTCTTGTGTATACAGTGCTGATTTAAATAAACCGGACGAAACGCGTTAAACTTGAAATTTAAAACCCGTGTTTCTCAAATTGGGTTGAGTTTAGGTGAAAACTTATGAAAACAAAACTTGCTTAGAATTTTAGTAGAATTTATATGATGTAAGTTGTTTTGCAAAAATCGGGCCCAAAATTTTACCCCAAAAATGGGTCATTTTGGCTTTTCTTAGTTAATCAAAAATTACGCCAAAAATACCTAGTTGATCACAGACATAATTATATCAAAGTCAGCCCCTTACGTAGCCCAACAAACTTTATGAAGGGTATTTTCTCCAAAAAGATTGCAAAATGCTTTAAAAAAATTGTTTTTAAATAAAAAATTGGTATTTTATATAGTAAAAATGACCTTTTTTGCCTATCAAACAAAAACAAATTAATTTATACAATATTTTGGAGATTATACCCTCCATAAAGTTTGTTGGGCTACGTAAGGGGCTCACTTTGGTATAATTATGTCTGTGATCCGCTGGGTCTTTTTGGCGTAATTTTTGATTAACTAAGAAAAGCCAAAATGACCCATTTTTGGGGTAAAATTTCGGACCCGAATTTCGCAAAACAAATTGCATCATATTAATTCTGTTAAAATTTCAAGCAAGTTTTGTCTTCATAAGTTTTCACCTAAACACAGCCCAATTTGAGAAAAATGGGTTTTAAATTTCAAGTTTAACGCGTTTTGTCCGGTTAATTTAAATCAGCACTGTACATGTTTGTGTATTAAAAATTGAATGGTTTGAATTTTTCAAAGCTAAATAGTGCAACCACCGCTGCAAAAATGCTTTTGATTTATAGCAATGATTCTCCTTTTAACACATTTGAAACCAAGTTTTTTAATTGTTTAATTCAGTTTTTTTGTTCTTTATACGATTGCAAGTTTATTTGACTTTTTCTATCTTTATTGAAACGATAAACTATTCTCTCTTGCAAAATTACGTAGGTAACAACTAAGGTGTAGATTTTTTTGCTAAGACGTATATTTGCAAAAACAGAAGAAGTTTGCAATTGAAAAAATCTGCATTTCAATAATGAGCAAAAGAGCCTGCCTGTCAAATAAGCCTGGAAAAACATGACAAAAAAACTGGAAAACCTACTTCAGACTGTAATCACATTTTAGTTCGCAATTTTGTAACGCGCAACTTTGTATTGATGAGCATTTTTCAGCTTCTTCAATAGAGGTCGAGATAGGAGGTCACCTCTCTACCAGACCCAGGAAAAAATTTGGGCAGAAAATATTCATTCCAAACAAGTAAGCTTACAAATTTGAATTTGAAGACTCAATAAATCACCACAGATTTTTGCTGCTTTATGGCAAAAAAAACTATAAAAAAAAGAACTCACTGATCATTTCAAACTCCTAGTGGCTAGCATTGCCAATTTATATGATTTCTTAGCATTTCGTAACACGTTCCCATGAATAAATTTCCAAACTTGCTACAAAAAGCAAGGTGTTTACAACCTTACACAAGATTTTTAAAGCAAATTTGCGAGCTGATTTTTTTCATATCACCTCAGTGGGATTTTTTTGGTTTCTTTGTTTCAGTTTTAAGAACTCGAATAAACCTCTGAACAACATAGCGATCATTCAAATCTGGAGCCGCATCAATTCGATCCACAAAATCCCAATTTGCTCCAGACACATGGACCTGGGTCATTATCTAGCATTCACTGCATTAGGATCTACCAGCAGGATGATCACCACTTTACCCACGACACTGCACGAAATGCCGCTTTATGAATCAGGGACGTTTTCATTTTTCTTATGAAATAAACATAGAAGAACTCTCGACAAAATTTTCAAGCTTTTTGGTTTTGTTGGAATTCAATTCACTAAAAGGAAAAAGGAAAAATGAAAAGAGCAATAACGTGAATCTGTAAGAGAAAGACGTATGACGTACGAGGAAAAATTGACGTTGAATAAGTGATCCATTTTTAAGCTTAAAGCTGAATCTGTAAAAAGGTAGGGCGACAATTCTTAACAGGGGACAATTCGTAACAGGCGACAATTCGTAACAAGCGACAATTTTTAACAGGCGGCAATTCGTAACAGGCGACAATTCGTAACAGGCGACAATTCGTAACAGGCGACAATTCGTAACAGGCGACAATTCGTAACAGGCGACAATTCATAACCTGGCGTTGGCAAGTAGAAAACGCTTGCTTCGCGTCGCTCCGCTGCGCTTGCTTCCGGCACGGGATGAATATTGCGTGTGAATCAGTGTTCCCCGCTCATTCTACTGCTACGAATTGTCGTCTGTTACGAATTGTGGCCTCACGCTGTAAAAAGAGCAGGGCATATTTTTGACCAATGAGTTTTTCAAAGTATTTTTTTTTTGAAATTTTCTGTGTGAAAATATAACATTAATTACATGGCGAAAAACGAAGGGCATTGATATGCGTGAGTGTTTTCACTTAACTTTTGTACTTTGTTTCCAAAATTAGAAAACATTTCAAACATTTTTCGGATTTTTAATTATTCGGAATTTGCTAATCATTCATTTTTCATGTATTAAAAACTGTTTACATACAATTTCCACGTCTGAAACAAGGCTCATCATACAGTTTTCGTTAAAGTTTCTCCACATATGAAGGCTTTTTCCTCAACTCTGGTTGCCAAGTTTTTCAAAAGGGTCCCCTTTTGGTATTCATTTACGACTCTATTTTTAGTGATTTAATCTGACCATTTTTCTAAAGGTGCCTAATGAGGAGTTCCGGCGCTTGTAAAAAAAATTTTCGACACACCTAAAAAAATCCTGCACAAGACTATGCATTCTTTTCATCATGAGTATAGTCCCTAAAAAAATTTTAACCTGAAAATGGAACTAATTCATGTTGACATATAGTATTCGAGTCAGAGAATCCATCTGAGATGGTGCCGTGTCGCAGTCAAGACATCTGCACTGAGACAATTCTAGAAGGTTCCAACATGTGCATGAATGACGAAGGCAGTCCCCTCTTCAGTCTCTTGTGCACTTCCAAAAAGGTGACATTTTAACATTCACTATAATATAGTCAGCGTATCCTTAAAAAAGCTAACTATGCAATTATATAGTGAAAAATATTTCTGTTGCGACTATTGAAAATGAGGAGGAGCTCTGTATTCGGTTTTCCAAGTTACTTTTCTTCTTTTGCTATTTTTACGCAAAATTAAGTACCACAAATAATTATCACAATACTAAATCGAGTGATATACATGATTGAAGCTCTTCCATCCTTGATTTGAATGATTTAAACAACAGTAAAAAATTTCAAAATTGGTCCCAGTAGTGAGAAAAACTGGCTGAAGGTTTTTAGTTTTAGTCCGATATCGAGCAAGTTGAGCCATCGAGTGAAGTTCGTTATATGAACACAGGTCGTCCTTTAGGTTGAGTAAAAAAGGATTTTATTATAAATAGAACGGGTTTTGGAAGCAAAATTTAGCGCTTTCTCAGCAAAATACAACACTTAAAGTTTCTGAGCAGATGAAGCTTTTTACTTGACCTCCAACGTGAGCGAAGGGTATCACTTATGTATCGACACATGTATACTATGATCGACACATGTATCTACCCTGATCGACTCATGCATCGACACTGGTTGACTTGTGTATCGACCATTATCGCCGAATGAATTTAACCTTATGTATCGACTTTGGGTCCAGGAAACTTTTTTTGAACGAGATAACTTGGGTCAAAAAGCAGCCATCTCAACTCGGCTATGAAAACACTGAATTAGTTTTGTTTTTAAAAATAAAACTCAAATGTGAAGAGGTAGTAATAAAGCTCACGTTTTTTATAGGTGATACCCAACTGTCTTTATGGAGTAGCCAGTTACTTTCTGAACGAAACTCACAGATGGCATACTTCTTGGCAGGAGGGAAATATCTGTAATGCAGGAAGTGTATTTGCCAGACTCACAAACCACTTAGGCTGGATCAACTCTGTTACCCGACAAATTAGTTGAAAAAATAAAAAATATTGTAAAAAAAATTGTTTTAATTAATATTATTTTCACTTTGCCACAGTAAATTTTGATTTCATAAGCAATTTTTCTCATCTGATAAAAAATTTTAAAAGCTTCCTAGGTTTGCAATGAACGATGAATGAAAATTCTTTACGACGCGATTCGAATTCAATTGTTTTCGATTATGGTAATTTTTTTCTTTTGTTTGAAACTGCAGTCTAAAAATTGAAAATAAGTCAAATGTGCAGACAAGTTGACGCTTTGATCAAGAGCACTCGCAAAGAAGTTTCATGGGTCTAACTAATTTTATTGGATTATATCGGCAAAAAATTTGACCGATATGATCAATTTTCATGACATATCCATACATAAAGGGTTACACCATTAAAGGGTTATAATAGACTGCTTTCAATATTCTGAAACACAATATAATCAATTATTTTGACAATTTGATCAGTTTTTTTGGCCACAAAAGTCCATGAAAAATTTTCTTTTCTGCAGAAAAGTGTTTACAGCGAATTAAACTCTGGATGAGAACTTTGTACAATTAAATTGCAGAGTATCTGTAAACACCAAAATGTTTAAAAAAAAGAATGTTCTGCAAATTAGGAACCCGAACGACCTCTCTACCTCCCAAATTTGATTACACCATATTACACCATCACCTTCTTGATTTGATCATATTTTTCTATTTGCGAAGAAAGCAGCTGAACTCTGTTTGGATTTTTGTGTATTGTTTTTATTGTTCCGTTGAAATTTTGGTGTTAAAGAGAAACGTGACTTACGGTGATTTATATCACGCAAAATGACTATCACAGATGGTGTAAAAATTTCTGTTCTCGATACCATGTTTAAGTCATTTAAGCCATGATTTCATTCTGATTGAATAAAAGTTTTCTGTTTCTATACTAGTGTTCTGCGAAGTAGATTGAACAATGTATCGAATACGTCCTTAAATTTCCGTTAATGAAAAACTTCACATTGTTTTAAAACTGAAACTTCTTGTTTTCATCTCTTCTCAAATAGCTCGATGAACTCAAAAATACGGCAAGTAGTTTTGAAATATGAAATACAAGACATTAAAAGAGTTGATACAATTTTTGATTTTTGAAGAAAAAGTTATCAAAATAGTCTGGGAAGAATCTGAGAGATATCATTTTTGAAATAGTATTGCAAATGTATGCTCAGATTACTTTTGTTGTTCCAAACTTTTAAAAATGAAAATGATTCATATTTTAAGCAAAAATAACAGAAGCGTCTGATACACGCTCATTTTTTTCTTGCACATGTGGGGTATCTACGAAAATCAATTGATTAGTTTTGCTTCAATTTAAAGTGATGATATCACTCATTCCTAGTGTGTTCAGATAAGGAATTGTTCCTTTGATCGGACAATTAAAATAATCAGATCAACCTTTTTCGTTTTGAACAAAACAAAATTGAGTTCTTTTTAAAGTTATAACTCCATAAAATGACATTCGAAAAATCATTTACAATACGAGCACAGTTTTTCCCGAAACTAGGAGCAAATATATCATCAAAATGCATAGAATTGGGCATCGAAAAAATAATTATTGTCTCTTGTAACTTCCAGTTATTCTACTTTTAATCAAAAGGGTCCCGGGTTGACATCCCACCATTCAGTATCGCTTTTTCTGTAGTATCCCAGTAATCGCTATTTTCCACTGCTGATTCATATTAGAGATTAGTTTTCCACTGCTCATTCATATAATTCAGATTTTGTTTGCATAGCTAAACCTGCGTTATTTCAGAGCTATTTCAGTAATGATTTCGTAGAAAATCAGCACTAAAACTGAAGAAATTTTTACTCTTTCTAGAAGCTTTCAAATAAGAGTTTGAGTTAAAAACTCTATGACTTGTGAATATATAAAACTTCGTGGCGCAGAGGGGGAGTACATGTCTAGCAAGCCGATGTTTGCCGGGTTAAGCCACGTTATTTGACTGTTTTTGCTGATTTTGAAGGTTTTTTATAGCAGTTTCATTGGTGAAAATTAGCCGATCAGCGATAATCTATCGACAAAATTTGCTGTTATGCCAAAAACATCGATTAGGGCGATTGTATTTTTTTCATTTTTTAATTACTTATGTTCAATGTGAACGAAACCCAGTGTGATAATTCAGAAAAGATTACTATTTTCTTTTAAAAACAGATTGCGCCCAAAATTTAAACGTCTTTTGTTTTATTTAATAGAAAAGTATATGAAAAAAAAAAACAGAAAATAAAACTGATATATTTTTTTGACTTTTGTCAATTTGGCTATAAGAAATGATATAATAATAAATTTGGCGAAAAATTGATTGTAAAAAGCTCATCTGTTTTACAGGTCGTATGTTTTTCAATCACTAACAAAAATTTGTTGAGCAACATCAAAAAAGGTAATCTGAAAAACTTATAAGCTTGTTATTACATGATGCGCAAAAAACTGGAGCAATGAAACGTTGTTTTTCTGAACATTGAAAAACAGAAATTAATCTGGAAAAACAGTAGTTAGTTATTTAATGAAAATCTTTTTGTTTTCAATTTAGTCTCACTGAACAAACTGATGGCTTCTTCAGGAGATCAAGTTTTATGTAGTTCTAAAGCGAAAAATCCTCAAAATGTTAACGCACAATTTTAATTTTCTGTAGACAGGTTTGGTTTTAACTGCGCCTAAAAATCGTTGTTAAATGAACTAAAATTATGCCCCTTAATTACAGGGAATGCAGGGGGCAAAAGTTCTTTTTTGTGAGTTATTTTAAAACTTGGATTACGTTTTTCGGTTTCGCATAATTCAAGTTTTCGTCATTGATCCAGTTATTTGATATTGTGTTAGTTTTCCCCAAAACGTCAGGATAAAGATATTTTTTTAATTTGAGCAAGATTCATGCGTATAAATTTTTTTTGAGCTTAAAATTGAAAAATTTTCAGCAAGTAATCAATCGTTTTTTTCTTGAAAGTATTAAAATTTTTTTCAAGCTGGATGTTGTTTCTGTGTTGATCAATCAATTGAAATCAATTTCATAAAAACTTAGTCTTTTTTATCATTATCTTCCGATAGAAGTTAACTTTTGAAATAAACCAATTAATGTGAAAGTTTTATCCACAAAAATTTTCTGATTGCAATTCCACAAATCTTAGGTTAAGCTAAACAAACAGTGCCTTGAAAATTCTTCGCAACGAGAAAAATTGATCTGAATTTAGCATACTGTTGCAAAAAAACTCAATTTTTGTTTCTTAGCAAATGAAAAATAAAAGGAGTGCAAATTATGGGTTGGCCACATCTTTACTGGGTTACTCATATACACCTTTTATGATCTTGCAACAAAGCAGCGAGGAATCAAAAAATGAGACTATAAAAATTTTCAAAAATTTTGAGAATTGCTTTAGTTTTAATGAAGTGATCTGGCAACATAACTTCTTATGTGACGAAATAAATATTTAGTTTGTAACTGTCTCGAATAAAATGATCTAGATATTTTTCTACACAACGCAGATCTAGGATCCGGGGCAAAAAAAAATTATAGGATATTTCAAAACTGAAGTATGTATAACCGTTTGCGGTGCAAGAAGTACAGAAAGCGCTCACCACGTTTTTTTGCTATTATAACAACAAAATAATTTGAATGATCGAATAAAATTAAAGGGCTTTTCCACAACTTTTTGGTTTCATAACTATTGAGAGGGGCTCTCAATAGTCCTTTCTCAATAGTCCCCTCTCGAAAGTCCCCTTTCTCAATAAGATACATTTGCATCTTTTTGGTTTTTTAGGTAGTGAGAAAGCCAAACAATTCTCGTTTATTTAAATGATTTCCTTGAGAACAGCAAAATTATTTAAGATTGGAGATGAATTAGATTGAAAAACAATGACAAAACTGAAGATCGAAACTGCAGATTGAAAATCAGTATAAAAACTCAAAAAGTCGACCAGTTTTTCCAAACAGTGGTACAAATTTTCAATTTTTTGCCACCCAAAACACAGCTGAAATGTGTCACAGCTTTAAAATGATACCACACTTTCCCTCAATTTTTGTTTGAGGTAGCTAAAACTGGTTAAAAAACCTACCCAACCCCATGGTTCTTTCCCGTGTAGGTTTACCAAAAGCTTAGGAACAATTTAGTAAAATACAAATCTGCTCAAGAAAGCTCGCTTCTAAAGATCCTTTATCTGGAATTTCAATTAGACGTTTGTAGCCGGTCAATTTTCGAATTCAAGTGTTGGATGCTTTTAGCATTTAGGTAATTGTCAGACACGATTTCGATTCGAGTTTCACTAATATTTTAATATTACATCGCTGAAACTTATACAGAAAAATATCTTGAGAAAAATACTAGAGAAAGTTATTTTGAGAAAAAGACTACTTCAATTTACTTCACGTTTTTGTCGTTTTCTTAGCAATTGATTAGGGTATATAGGGTTAAAACTCTAACACATGCTAAATTATATTATTTAAAAGGATTTAGCAGGGTCAAATTTTGAGAAATTTGCTTAGAAAGCAAAAGAAGTAAGTGTATCTCAAATAGTTTCAGAGGTGCTCTAAATTTGGAAAAATCCCCGCATACAACAAAACAAATCTCAATCGATGGTTTCAACTTAGTTCATTGGAAGACTAATGAGGTTATCTTATACTTTATACCGCAGACAAATGCCGCACAGAATAATTAAAAGAATGACTTGGTTTGGCGGAAAGATAGGTTGAACAATTAAAAAAAATTGAACATATAAAGATTGAACGCACAGATGGAGGAAACAAGCCAACAAAAAGGCTGCTCCAGCAAATATTTTTTGGAAAATGACTGCTTCGATCTATGCACAAGAAGCTCATAAACACTATGTTTGTCTATAAATTTTGTCAAAGAGGAGTCAATAAGCGCCCATGTCTGTGTCGTCAAATCAGTTATGATCGTTTTTTGACGCCGGACAAGCTCAAAATTTCAATTGTTCTGTCTGTTGTTTTTACTCAGTATAAAGTGCAAGCAGCGCTCATGAGTCTCCCAAAAAATTTTGTTCTGGCTAATTTCTACTACTGTCTATTAAAATTTCAACCTGATATTTTAATTAGTTGTAAAGAAAACGACAAAAATGTGAAGAAAAAAAATTTTGTGCATTTGCTCGTTGAAGTCAAGTGTCTGCTTAATTGTTGTAGCTCATTGTAGCAACGATTGCTCCCCGAAATAGAGGGTAAAGTAATAGGGGTCCAATATCTTCTGATATCCGAAAGAAAACATAATTATAATTCTGGCTCAAAAAAACTCCGTTTCTTACTGTTTATTGATTATAACCTTTAATTTGACCATCCTAATCTTCGGATAAGTTCACAGCTTGATCAATTCATATTTCACGACATTCAAAACAAATGAAAACAGAACAGGCTAGATAGTGTTCTCATAGTGCTACCTAAAGTGATATAATTGTAGAAAAACAATGAGATCTTAAAATATTTTGCTTGATACCTTTCGCTCGAAATCAATTTAATATTTATATTACACCAATCAATTATTATTTCATGACATTACCCGTACCTCACAGCAATTGTCGCTCACAGCAATTAATAAATTCCAATATTAAGACAGTTGAGATTAACTATGAGAAGAACAGCTTTCATTATTTTTTGCTTGACGTGGGTTTCCTTAAACAAAGTTTTTCTAGAAGCTCTTTACGTTGAAGCTAACTTAATCTCACATAATGTTACCAAAAATGAAACTAATAGTCGTGAAGAAACTGTGAACAAATTCAGTGACACGTTGCAATATTCGATCGTCAATGGGCACCAAGCTAAAATCAGACATTTCTTCGTGCGTGTTTCCAGGGTGGGGCATCCTAATATCTTCTGTGGGGGAGCGTGCATCGGTGCTCTTTGGGTAATAACTGCGGCAACTTGTGTGCTGGGAGCAGAGGGTAATTCTAATTATTGCACAGCCGTGGTAGATAATTCCAAGACATTTTGGGTGCGCGAGTTTGAAATTCAATGCTCTCAGAATTCGAAGTTCATTGAGTTTTTTCAATTTCTTCATTTTCAGCTGTCCCACAAAGATTAACCTGACAACTGTTTCTCCTTCCCTTGGAATTGCTTTTGTTGCCCATTTTTCTTCAAAATTTTGATACAGCTCATCTTTTGAGTATTTTTAAGCCAAAACCAGCAGGTTTGTGAAGGAAGCAAAAATGAATCATTTGTTTCCACGCATAGTTGAATGAATCAAAGTTTTCTCGTATCCGAGCAAAACCCATATTTTTCCAACAGTCTTTTGTAATCTAGTTTAGAATATTTTTGGTTCGAGAAAATTGTGATGCATAAAAACTCTTAACATTATAAACTTAATTTCAAATTCCTCCCCCAACGGTCAAAAAGAGAGTAGGTGGCGTATTTTGTGTCAAATTGGGAAATAGTAAAATCAATTGGTTTGGCTAAAATCAATTTGGAATTATTTTGTGTTAACCCAGGATCGTTTGCCTCGCATGAACTATAAGAGTCATGACTTCAACATTTAAGAGCAAGGGACAAATAAGTTGTAATTGTTTCATTTCAACGAGCTAATAAGCAAAACTATTCTTCACTTTTTAACGTTTTCTCTGCAGCATTTTAAGTTAAATGGTTAAGTTTTCAGCACCTTTCAGATTAAAATTTTTAGAAGCTAGTTTGATTTAAAATTGAAAAAAAATTCTTACAAAACTGTTATGAACCAGTAGAAACAGACAACTTCTTTAAGAGGTGTTCTTGCAGCGGAAAAAGCATGTACAAGAATCCTTCCGAATTGGTTTTTGGTAAGCTGATGACCTTGTGCAATTTTTTGTGTAGCGCAAACTTGACAGAAAAAAATTTCTGGTGCTGCATCAAAACGCAACTAGATATTTATGAAAATTTTTGAGCGGATGATCAAATTGAGTCATCAAAAATGTGTTTGAGCAAATATTCCACAACAAATGTATCCTTCAATTGATTCACTGAGTTCTCATGTTGTAAAAAAAAATTGTTTAACCTCTAAACTTCAATCACCGAAACGAGAGCGACCGTTTTTTGATGCCAGACCAAGAGCTTTTTTCTTTTTACTTTATCTGTCAAAAATGCACTACATAAGAAATAGGCACGCTCATCGGCTTCCCAAAAGAAATTGTGAGCCAGTAAATTCAAGTTAAGTTTTGTTTGCGAAGTTTTTTTACGGCAAGAACACCTTTTACAAAAGTTTTGATTGACTGGTTGAATAACATTTTCAAAACAAGGTTTTCAAGGTGTTATTTAACCAGTCAAACAAAACTTCCGATAAAGGTGAGTAGTATTGTATCGTGTCCCGGATCCTAAGGGGGGGGTCCTTCCTAAGGGGGGGGTCCTCACGTAAAGCAAAATCCTAGGAAAGGGGTCCTTAATTTTTTGGAGGACCCTCATCCTAGGATTTTGTAAACGAAAGAGATTTTCCACCCAAAAAGCAGAAGACCCCCTACTTAGGATCTTGCTAAGTTTAGCTTAACAACAAGGGACACGATACAAAAATCTTTCTAATTCCAAATTTTGGGGTCCCAATTATTGGTCCTGATTAATTATATGAATCATATTAATTGTTATGCTTGTTTAGGGTAAATGAACTTTCGACCTAGTTGAAATTTGTTAGTGAACGGGGAATTGACTTTTATGGTATATAATAAAAATTCGCCGGCCATTTTGGCAGCGTAGCTTAACTGTTGGCAGCAGTAAACTAATTCCTTAACTTGACCTAAATTTTATGGTGAAAAGGCAGTAAATTGAAATTACTCTCAAAAGGCGGCGGCCGTTTCTGGGCAAAATATACCAAATGATAAAATTGTCAAATTTTGAAATAAGAAAAATGAAATTAGAGGGAACTTGGTGTACTGAAGATATTGATAATGAACATTTACAATTAAGAGTGTTTTCAACCGCAGAAAAAAACTCATTTTTCAAATTATGTAATGAACGCTACGTCGTCTTCCTCGAAAGGGCAAAGGAAATTTCAAAGAAAGAATACGAGTTGATTTTCAAAGAACAATTTTATTTGAGTGAGCTTCAACAAATCTCTTGGTGCATTTCTACAAAACAAAAGTATGGCACTGTGAGCGATTTGAATATTGCTGATTATGAAAACGTTTTCGACTATTCGTTTGACTTTAACTCATTATGGGTTGATAAAGACTTGGAGAGAAAAATCCGTCTATGTTTCAACAAGCTATCAAAATACAAAAAACTTCCGGTGGTTTATTTAATTATTTACCACCGTTATCTTAATGAGTCTAAATGGTATTTGCAAGGTCACTTTTATTTCCACTGGCTTGAAATTCAGCAGGTTGGAGAGGTGTTGGAAAAAATAAATAATGAAATTGCAAAAAAGCAGAGTAACTCCTATTGATTTGAAAATAATTCACGAAATTTATACGTCTTTGAAACAAACTTATCCTGATAATTCTAACCGACGCAACTATTTTCTAGCTGCATGTTCTCTGTTTTTTGTTAGTTCTGATAACCTTAACTACGACATTTTAATTAAGTTGAGACCTTATGGTGGCTTGATTGGTATTGATAACTCTTCCTTGGACAAATATTTGAAAAATTCCAAAATTTTACGATTGCACGCTATTTTGCACGATGCGGCCGGATTTATACACGAATTTTATCAACAGGGTCCCACGTACTGTTACATGTTGCCCTGGAACTGTAACAACAGCTTATTGGGACATTTGAGTGGAATAGCGTTCTGCCTTTTCATTAAGTTGAAAAAACCAGAAGTTTATCATTTACTAGAATGCTAGGCGAGAGATCAGTTGTGCTTGACGTGGAAGGCTTTCGTTACAAGAAAAACGCCTTTGTGGTTAAAGAATTAGCAATAACAACTTCAGACTACAGCGATCGACTCATTTTCCTACCTCCAGTGAATTTCAATATACTACCAAAGCTTGAACAAAAAGCTTACAACTGGTTAACTAATTATTTACACGGTCTCCATTGGGAAAACGGTGATTATCTTTATATAAACTTGAATCAAATACTTCAGAGTTTTGTGCTGAGAAATCCTGGTGCCGTTTTTTACGCTAAAGGAAAAGAAAAGACAGAATTTTTGGCCAAGTACTTGGACCGAAAGATTGAAAACCTAGATGATTTGGGCTGTCCTCGGGTTGAAAACTTATATTTTAAAAATTATCCAAGTTGCAATAAACATATTCCACATTACAACTCCAGGAATCATTGTGCCTTGAAGAAAACCAAGGTTTTTTATGATTGGTTGAAAAATGAACAACAGCGAGAGATCAGCGAAAGTGGAGACATACCTATCACAAAATTCAATGCTTTGTGCGTGGATGACTCCAGAGGGTGATATTAAAATTTCATTAACGAGAATAGAGCGTATTGATTGCAGTGGCCAAATTGTTGAAGAGGTTTTTTCCAGTTATTGATCAATTTGTATACTTCCAGAGATTCAAGTTTATCAGAAATGTTAGCCAGCAAGCGAGGAGTATGTCTTCCCGAACTAGTCTTAGTACCCAAACGTCAGCCAGGAGTTCAGATGGATCTAAACAGCAGTGAATTGCCAGATGAGATTAAGACGATTGTGAAAGAGGATACTGTGAAGAAAATAATGTACTACAAAAAAACCGCAAATATCCCAGCAAATTTTGTTTTAGAAATGCATGACATAAATGATAGAGATTTCACACGTTATGAAATTTTTTACTGTTCTCAAAAGTAATTTAATTTTTTACAAGCTTCATTCGCAGAGAGAAAAAGTCTAACGCAGTCTGTAGAATAAATAGTTTCTCAAATGTCAGAAGCAACAACAGCAGTAGATGAACCTGACGCAACATTAGTAACAGAGTTTGTTTATAACGAGACAAACAGTGAAAAAAAATCATGGAAGTTTTGTAACAATGTAACTTTGCCAAGGTCTGAAGTAGTTTTTGTTGCGCAAATGGTAGTAATTCTAATTTTACTAACTTTCTGCATTCTCAAACTTTCTTTCACTAAATTAAGTTGCGAAGAAACGTCAGTTTGGTTCTCGATTTTATCAGGCTTGGTTGGTTACGTACTACCAAACCCAAGAATATGAATAAAGTGATTGATACTTCGACAAGAATTTTTATGGCGATAGTGGGACCTTCAGGATCCGGGAAAACTGAGTTAATTTTGAAACTTCTGATGGGAAATACTTTTTACCCTAAATTTGGAACCGTTCTATATCTTTACAAAGAGATGCAACCTGCATTCTCAGAAAAAGTGTCTTCTCGCGAAGTGAATATGGAGTTCATGAAATTCGACGGATTCGAATCTGTGAGAAAATTAGAAAATGTTCTTCTAGTTTTCGATGATTCATGTGAAGACATCTATAATGACAAGGAATTTGTTAGGTTAGCGACAGCGGGTAGACATAGAGGGATAGATGTAATATATGTTAAGCATAACTTGTTTCAACAAAGTCGATGGTCGCGTACGATTGATTTGAACACTTCACACATCATTCTGTTCAAATCGCCTCGCGACGTTCAGCAACTAGATCTATTAGGAAGACAATTGAATGTATCAAAATTTTTGAGAAACTGTTACGAATTAGCTACCAGAGACTCTTTTGGACATCTTCTAATCGACTTGGACCCCCGTACATCAGATTGTTTGAGATATTGTTCAAATATCACACCACCTGGGCCAACAGTTTTTTATTTACCCTTATCTGAAGCAGAAACTACTCCAATCACAAATGAAAAAGAAAAACTTATCTATTCTGCGGCATATGGTACAACTGAAACCTGACCAGCTAAGAAGATTAATTAGAAAAACTTCAAATCGTGAGATCATAACACTTGTTTGTGAATGTTTGCTCAATGTAGTCAATGGAAACGTACCCGTTAAAATCGCAAACATCGAACGATTCGAGACAGCATACAAATACTTATTAACTCCAAAA